TCAAATGGAAACAAACGCATCGAGATATCGATATCGTCGATATTTCCAATAATAACACATAGAAATGATCGAGACAAAGGCTTCACGAAGTCAGTGTCTCCCACACAGTCACATCGTCGAGATGTGCTGTCCCTACATCATACAACCCACAGGCGTCATATCTCCTTAAATTCAGCAGAATGGCCTTATTCATCTGTGCAGCTGCGCTCGCTGCGAACGAAGCACCTTCTCGGGAACGCAATTGAAATTCTGAATAGGCCCTAATTCCGCACATGCTGCATTACAAAATGGCTTGCATCCACCCACCCCCACACGGTAACCACAGCACGACTGCATCTCCAAAAAAAAAAAAGAAAAAAAAAAAAAAAAAAAAGACGACCTTTTATATCCCTCCACATATTTAGCCATTTACCAATCATGAAGTAAAAACATGTTCCGCAGATTCGGGGGTTTTTTTCGGGTTTTTTTTTTTTTTTTTTTGGCACGACGACAACATTTCCACAGATATGAATTCATTTTGATCGGACATCATGACCGTTTAGTGATGCACACGAACGCTGACTAAAACACAATCATTTCCTCGTTTTTCGTTATCTTACCTGCATGTGATCCAAGACAAGTACCTTAATTTTTTCGTCGTTGTCCTCTCCTCTAGCCCTTTATCCCTGACCGCCAGTTTACCAGCCTCTCTCTCTCTCTCTCTCTCACTCTCTCTCTCTCTCTCTCTCCCTCTCTCACCTCTCTACCCCTCCTTCTCCCCTCCTTCTATCACCCCTTTTTCTATCTTCTAAATTGATCTGCTTGTTTCCACGGCTCTAAGCTGCTTCTGCATCCGCAGCGCCCTTAAAGCTGCGCGGGGGCAACGGCGGCTGCAAGTTAAAAAGGAACACAATCCACCCACGTATACAGACGCGCGGATGTTGCAGAAAGAGAAACCCGAAAAGAAAGGAAAGAAAAAAGAAAAAAGGAAAAAAAAAAGAAAAAAAAGAAAAAGCAACAGCGTTTTAAGATTCAAGGTCGCAGGAAATGACAGCGATCACAATGAGGTCTGGCTCTGGGATGCGCGCCTCCGTATCTCAGCAGCATCAGTGGCGCTGAGGAAACACGGGCGGCGGAGTCGACGGCGCCTGCTGGGCAGAGCGATTTGCGTCCTGCATAACCGACTCTACGCACAGTCCGTATGTCTGTGCCGGAATCGAACCGAGGAAGCATTTGTTGAGAGAAAGGAGTTCTGGTTTTAAAAAATGAAAATAAATTAAAGACGACTGTGGTTTCAATCTGTCTTCGATATTTATATTTATATATATATATATAATTAATTACATATATATATATATATATATATATATATGTAATTGTATTACAAAGCCTATAGAGACGTGTTCATGAAGAACATTTTTTTAACATGACTCAGCACCCCTTCATAAGCAGCGCAACATAGTAACCCAGGAACCACGCAGGAACATATAAATATATTTCTTACTATATATGTATATATATATATATATATATTTTTACAACTCTCTTGCAAGTTTTCTTACTTTGCAAACACTCCTCAGTTCTCTCACACATTCTTTGACATAGAACGTTGTCGAGCGTGCTTCCTCTCAGAAATATATGATACAAATATATAAAATATAGTTGGCTAACACTACGTTTTTCCTCGTGCTTTAGAATAGGCCGAAACGTTCATACCTTTTGTACCCAATCTCATGGAACGTAACACAGTGTCTTAATTCATAAAATGTAAAAATTAAGTGTGTCGTAATTAATTGTGGTCCCGCATTGGTGGACACATTTCGTTGTGTGTTTATGGGCTTGTATATGTGCAACGGCGATAAATACGTTTTTTCACGTTCCATTTCTTATTTAAATATTATATATATCTATATATCTTTTTGAATGTTGACACAATTATTCTGCAGTTGCAAAGGCTGACCACTGTATGGCAGTGTTGGGTGATTCTCAGGCGTCCACTGTAGAGGCTTATATGCAACACTGCCATCAAAACCTATTCTTTATCATAGAAAATGACATTTTCATAGCTGTCCACTGTAGTGTTTGTCATGCATGAAAGGGTTAATGCCTGCATATTCTTACTTTTAAAAACAAATACTGTATATAACATCTTTTTATTCCGTAATTTGCAGGTATAATCCAGGGTTGTCAATAATTCTTTCTCTTTTTTTTCAATCACATTAATAAAAAAAAAATCTGTGGATTCATTTGGATCTAATCCAAATAAAAATCGAGATTTATTAACATTCCCAAATATGAGAAACTGTCTCCGTCTTCCATCAGTGGTCTAAATCTGGCATAGGCAAACTAAGGCCTGGGGGTCAGATGAGCTTTTTAATCTGGCCCGTTCCAAACCTTTCCAAATATATATATTTATATATTTATTTACGTTACCATTATACTTCTGCCTTTTCCCTGCAGTACCCACGTTTCTCCAATAAAATGACAGAAGCATTTTAGCATTTTAGCCTTTATGCATGACTTTTACATGTCATTTATCTTAGTTCACACCAACGCTCCATCTATCTGCTCCAGACCCGGCCCCCCCATGTTAAATTTTAGAACCAATTGTGTCCCGCCAGTCAAAAAGTTTGCCGACGCCTGGCCTAAATCATATTCAACTGTAATCCATTTTTAAAGCTTCAAGTTAACGTAGTAATTGTAGATGCTGTAGTACTGGTGAAAGTTCGACTAATCGGTGACTGTTTTGGTAGATACAGCTTCAACACCCAACTATAATGTTATGGTGTCTCAACTGCTCTGTGGCCCACACTAAAAAACAAAAGGTAAAAAAAACGAGACTTTTTTCATCTCTGTATGTAATGCTGCTGCTACACTGTAATTTTTCCCCCTGGGATCAATAAAGTACATCTATCTATCATCTATCTATTAGCTTTTTGTCCACTTAACGTTTTCTGATAAATTTTCGATATCGACCGATATCGATACGTGCACCCATTTTCCCCCAAAATGTCACATCTAGGGATGTCCGATAATATCGACCGACCAATGTTATCGGCCTGATTCAAGCATTATTATGTAATATCTGTTAGCGTCGTTAGTCGGTTCTGTAGTATAGCGGTTAGCATGTCTGCCTTGGAAACAGAGAATAGAGAGTCCTTGGTTCGGTTCCCAGAAGAATGCTTGGCGCTTGCTAGGGGCAACCTGTTGGCAGCATATCTGCTGCTTCCCAAATATGGGATCAATATAATACATGTGAATACATACATACATAAGTGAAAGAACTCAGTTGTTCATAATTGTCTGCGATGTTTTTTTTTAATCGTAAATTTTTTAAAACTATTATAATAAATATCTAGACATTTCAGGCAACCCTATTTAAATTTCAGGTGATATATATATATATATATATATATATACATATATATATATACATATATGTATGTGTATATGTACATATGTATATATATATGTATATATATACATATATATCTATGTATATGTATATATATATTTATATATGTGTATATGTATATATATACATATACATATACATATAAACAGAATATAACCAGGAGTGTGATGCCTGGTCAATGGAAAAGAGTGTTCTGGTACTGATATGTAGCACTGCACCGACTAAAATATTACTGCATTAAATTGAAACCAGTGATGAAATATGTAACCAACACAAAGTCGGGATCACGTCTTTGGTGCATATCAGTATCCGAACTGATGGATTTTGGAGATAGCTACGGTTTTGCCTTTCCTTATAACCGCAAACTGTGGCTAATATGTATATGGTGTGGCTTCTTTGTTTCATTTAAAATCCCTTCATCAAATTGCTAATTGTTAAATCACGGCACAATCATCAGGAGTCGTTCCCTCTACTATCTTCCAACTGCATCCAGGAAAGCGTACTAGCAAAGAAACTCAGATATGCATCAGAGACCGTCCCCGAAAATCTTTTCCTTGTCCTTCTCTACCCTTCCAAACGCTCGTCCCTCTCTAACTTCCCCCATGCGTCTGCGGTGACCATGTTCATAGCCGCTAGCTTTAGCCAAACGATACACAGCAATGAGATCTCCCTGTCTCTCGCTACGTCCCTCTCTCTCTCTCTCTCTCTCTCTCTCTCTCTCCCTCTTAAATTTCCAAGCACACAGTGGTGCAGAGGATATTCCTTCTTTCCCGCCTCCTCCCTTTGCTCTCACTCATGCTAATATATCTCTCTGGTTCGACACCGACTGAGTCTCTGTAACCAAAAAACCCCTTCTCGAGGCTCCCTATCCTGAATGAGTGCATGATGCTATCATTTCCTCTCTCTCTCTCTCTTTTCTTCGTGTCCTCGGCGTGTCATTGCAACACTAACTCTCATATTCCCTTAAATGCATGTGTGTGTGTGTATACCAGCACCTTTTAAGCATATGTGTTGTTTGTATGAGCTGCGAGTGAAGGGGGAGGGAGACAAAGGACATGCTTTGCGCTCAATAAATGGACACTCATCGCCGTATTGCTTGTGTCATCACAGTGCAGAGGGAAAGA